CATCTGTTCATTAAACGCAAAATTCTTCCAAATTTGGTCATCAATAGCTGGTTATGGTGAATTATGCGTGTGCTTTTAGCCAATCAGAATCGGGGAAATATTTTGAATGAATAATAACATGTAATAATTAAGCAACCACGATTGGGATGTGTCAACACGAGCCGTGTGCGAACTTAAAGGACGGGAAAAAGTGGAAAATTAAATACCCAGTGACAATGAAACCCGACATTAATGACCGAACATTATCCTTAATGTAGCCATCTTTTGCCTTGTCTGATTTCCAACAGCCCTGTCTTTTAAGCAATCTGTCAGGCAGTCGGGCATTAGCAGCAGCGTGGGCACCTCCCGCCCTAAGGCTATGTAGACCATAGTCTTGTTTGGGATGGAAGGCCAACGGAGGTCGAAAGCGCTAGGCACTATCTCCTAAGCTCTAGTATAAAACAAAGTAACAGAACCACAAAATTTATAAGTTCCGCCACGGCGAAGGAAAACGAGCGGGCGAAAAGTGAACTCTTCGCTGTCTGTTGAAAAAGAAGCGGCCAAAATTATCGTTGAACTAATAAACAAGGAACGTGTGCTTGAACGTTTTGGCAATAACAATCAAGCCCCATCTCTGTAAATGTCAGTCTTTATTCGATGAACAAAGATTCTCAAAAAAGAATCTTCAAACTGAAAATCACACCTGCGCAACTGAACCAACTCGTTAAAGCGAAAAAATCCTACATAGCCTAAAACACAAAGTAAGCACTCGTAAATCAGACAAACTAGCTGAACACGATCCTTAGTTAGCAAATAAAAGCTGAATAGCCTCGGGGGTCATTGGTTCTTTCTTTTTAACAGGAACACTGAGAAACCTCTTTGCAGATTCTATTAAATGTAAAAATATCGAGGAATTACACGGGTCGGGTAGACCTGCCAAATCATACACCCACTTGAGGCCATAATGGACTTCGTCAATATTATAGCAAGAAGCAGATTCTTGAATCAAGCTAAGAAAAACATTCTCAAACTCATTAATAATTCATAAAGAAAATTCAAAGCAAATTAATGTTTAATGAGTGTTTGGATATCGGTTGAAAAACTGCTCATTTTTGCATCCTTAATTTCTCCTTCAAAAATGATTTTGTTTGAGAAGAAATATCAAACATTCGACACTGTGTTTCATCACCAGATGAAACACCTCGAAGTTCGTTAAAAATACTCCGCTACGCGTCGTATTTTTTCAACTCTCTTCTCGGTGTTTCATCTGGTGATGAAACACTGCGTCTCATGTTTGATATATTACATAAAACATATTCACTAGAAGCGGGAAATATTAAAATTTCTTTAAACGGAGAAGCCCTTTTCGTACTTCCTCGCGGTACTCTCGGCACTTTTTGAGGAGAACTGCAGGAAGATCTTGAACCGGTGCCTGGAGTTGTTGTTTTTATTGATTGAAGTTTGCTTTTAGTAAATCAGCTTGCTAATTTTTTTTATATATGTATAATTTAATCACCACTTTTTTCAGCGGCTTTTTTGCCTAATTTATCACCAGCATGCGAAATACCGGATTGCAGTGCTTTTTTGGCAAATGGTTTGACAACTGTTTTCGTCAATAAAGATAAAACACCCCTCATTGGTTTAAAAATATTGTCGAAAATTATACCACTTCCTTTGTGCTTATACACAAATCTGCCAAGTTTTGGGTGAAAGAATCTCTTGAATTCATATGGTTTCATCCACATTATAATGTTACATAATTTAGTTTAGTCGTTTCAAAATGAGACTGAATGAAGTATCAGCTTCGTGTAAATTTACGAGACATCTTTTGCCATCTGTGACATACATTCGTACAGAGCCTATCATGTTTTTGTTGACTGAATTATATGTGATTCTTAAAAGTTCAAGAGTAAAACTGTATGATGGTCGCAAAACACTTGTTGAAAATGAATAAATAATGTCACTTTCTTCACCGTCAACAAGGCTATCATTGACTAAATCACAGTGAATGTTGATAATGTTTTGGCACTAATTGTTTATTTTGTTCTGGTTGTATTTCTGCGTCAAATAAATCATGTAATCCATAATCAGGAATATGTTCATCTTCAATAGCAATCCCATAATTGAGAACTGCCATTTTTGTACCACGTTTGTTTTGCAACATTGGAAGTTTCAAATTACTCAACGCAACATCATCTAATTTAGTTGTTATTGGTTTGAATACTTTTTGAAAAGATTCCTGGCTTGTTTTTTCTCCCAACGGATTTTTCAAAATTGTATCATGTAAAAAATTGCTTTTATCACGTAATTCGGTTTTTCTCATAGCAAATTCTTGCCATTTAAGTCAACTCATTTTTTATTATATAATTAGATTACATAAATATCATAAATCATACATAAAACCAACAGTAGAACTGACAGTTCAACTGGTAGTTGAACGCAAAACTATGTAAGTATATGATATATAGAATGAAAATACCCAACAATGATGTTGAAGATAAACAATCTAATTATAAACAGA